TATAGGAAACTGATATACATATTGGTGCATATCAGTAACATGCAGGGTAACAGTTGGCTAAGGTGACCAACTGTGAAATCACCAAATGCAAACATGCCAAATGCAAGGCTTCACTGTTCACTAAGATGCAAATTCATGTAACTTGTAGTTCAAACATGTAAAACAGGGTTGTTGATTTTAAAGCAGTTCACATCTTTCATTACATATACGTATGTAAATTTAATTAGGAATAAAGCAGTCTCAACTTGTATAAAGGCACCAACAGGATGTCTTTCCTATGTCAGGAAAAATTATATTCTAAATCAATAAATGCATTGTTCTTTTAATCCTAGTGCTTCTTGAGCCTTGATTTGCCCATTTACTGCATATTTCAAGACCAAGTTGTATGCTGATGCCAAAACCTTCTTTATTTTCTTTCTTTCTTTATCTCGATTGTTATTCACAGGACATGTAACAGTTAAAGTGTACTTTAGTGTTAATTTAATTCCTTTTTACAGTGAGATATATGGCAGTTATATGTTTTTTTCAAACTGTAGTTTTTTTAGAAATCTAACAATTTATTACTGTCAGCTGAGCATACTATTTCTAGGATTATGCATTCAAAACTTCACTTTACTTTTGATATATTTAGTTGCCATGGAGGCTTTGTAGTGTTCTCCCTTGCCTCCCAGATATGGAAGTCTGGTGACAATACTGGCAATACCAAACCAGTGTGGCAAAGGGCTTCAGGCCCCAAATAGGCCTAGCTGTAAAAGATCATCTCCTTCTGTATATCTGTTCAGTATATATATATATATATATATATATATATATATATATATATATATATATATATATATATATATATATATATATATATATATATATTTATACATGTTTATACATGTATATATAATACCAATTACAAAATAGTATAAACTGCAGCATTACTCAATACTTGCAGGCAGTTAATTTTGTAAGAAATAGATAGCTTCCAGTGTTGCATACTTCTGTGAACATTTTAAGCCAGCATTTTAATTTTATTTATTTTTTTTTTATTTTTTTATTTTTCTTCTTCTTCTTCTTCTTCTTCTTCTTCTTCTTCCCAAATCTATTGTTACAAGATACTGTGAATGCCATCTGTACATAAGATAAATACGATAAGATTGATTATTAGGTATGTTCCTCTATTTTCTTTTTTTCTGTTTATCTTCACATGACCTATGACTCACTAGTGAACATTCCTATTGTTTCAGTCAAAACGTGATGACAGTCAGCATAACAATTTTTTTCATCTATTAACCCAATGTCTGCAGGTTTATGTACTGTCCTTTTTAGATTTTTGTGAGTTTTGTTACATACAGATGGCTCCACATGTGCTCAGCCACCAAGGACTCTATTAGTTGCCCAAAGTGACTACATCTGATTTCCCCATTCCTTGAATTTGCAGGAAAATGTGTTTTTCTTTCCAATACTATTAATATTGACATTGTTATCATTTTTATTGATATTATGATTATTGAATTGTTATTGAAATGTTAATAACATCAGAGGCAGTAAAACAATAGAAATGAAGCTTTCAAAAAATCAAGTGAAAGGGTAAACAGGTAAGATAGGTAAGACTGATAACTGACTCCATGGTGAGTAAGCACTTGTAGAGCCATCTATGGGTGAAGACAACAGATAAACTTTTATTACAGTGGGCATGGCATTGTAGTCTTTCCACTTGCGTTAACTGGGTTAAAAAGTTGTTCTTATGAATTGTGAATTTTTGAATAGGATGACTGTGAAAGAGAATGGTGATTAACCCATTCGCCCCGGATTTATGTTCTGTCCCCTGTAGTTTTTGGCGAATTTTGTTAGATACAGATGGCTCCACATGTGCTCAGCTGGCAAGGAGTCTATCAGTAGGCCCAAGTTACCGACCCTGATTTTCCCATTCAATGAATTGGCGGGAAAATTAATACCATTGCTATCGATACTGTTATTATTGTTATTGATGTTATGACTATTAAATTGTTATTAGAATATTTTAGACAATGAAATGATACAAAAACCCCTTTCCTAATTTGAAGGAAAAGGGTAAACAAGTGAAATAGGTAGTTCTTGATAACTGGGTGTTTTGTGATTAAGAACTTGTGGAGCCATCTTTGTGTAAATACAATAAATAAACATGTATCAAAGTGGGCATGGCATCTGTTCTTGCCACGTGGGGTAAATTGGTTAAATGAAAAATAAACATGTACAATGATAATAAAATGTAAATGATCAGGAAATTTTCCTAAAAGCCCATTTACTTCCCTTTTGCACCTAGTATGCATTGCTAACAAGAAAGTTGATGTTGCAACTCCCCCCCCCCCCCCTTGGATCTCTTTTAGCTGTCTTCTTCTCCATATGTATGTATGTTTGTTATGACTTTTGGTGGCCCCTAGGCTAATGAAAGTACAGGAGCCATCCTCTGATATTGCCTGGGGCCATATGATTTAGAGGAAGTGCCTCAAACTAGGGCCCTTTATATCAGAAAATGGCTTCAATCAGGAGGCCTGTATCTTCAATAAAGGACTAGAAAGAAGGGCCTCTTTTGGAAATTTAATTATCTGACTACAGGGCTTTCCTTTCTGAAGTTGAAATTTTAATTCAAGTTAGTGAAATTATTCAGCAATGTAAAATATTAAAATATCATACTCATTTAAAAACTATTTTTATAAATATAGACAAATTTCAGAGACTGTAGGCTGCAGTTTATATTAGCCTATAGGATAATCTAGCAGAGCACCCTTAGCACCTCTCATATCATTGAGGATTCCCATGAATTAATTTCAGTGGTGCACAGGGTGTGCTTCAAATATCCATATTATTGCTTAACACTAAAAGGAAAAAAATAAGTTGCATGGCCTCTAGGCTTCAGCGTTGTCAGCCTTAGGGATACTGCATATTTATATGAAATCAACTCAGATGACAAAGTAAATCAAGAAAAAACTGAAAACATTGGAAAGAACATTGGCAGTGAATGTATAGATTCAAAAAAGCTATTACCAGATATACTTCAACTTTCATCAATATTATAAGGTGAGTGTATTTCAGAGATCATTAGATTAGTGATGGATTTGTGTGGATTTTAGTTCAGTAAATTGTAGATTAGATATACCTTGTTTTCAATTAGTGTTGTTTGCTGTAGTAATGTTTTTTCTTTTGTTTTTTTTTACCAGTCTTTGAGAAAAAGAGTGTTGTCTCATGTCTGTACAATGAGTATGAATCTTTAAGCAAATGAAAATAGGAAAGGAACCCCATATGCTCTTTTTTTCTATCTGATATTAATACATTTACCTCCAGAAGGTTCTTAGTAGTTTCCAAAAGTACAGTTACTTTCTAAACAGAATCCAAGGGTTTGAGGACTTGAGCAAAGAACTCAAGATCAGTAAATTAACCATTCTTTTATAAAGGATGGTTTAGAAGACCTTGTAAGCCTGGCCTTGGAATACTGCATGGCCTTTTCAGGAAAGACCATATCACAGGAGGCTTTCCAAGAGAGACCTTCTCAGTTCTGACCATGGACAACCTCGTGAGAGATTACTTCAAAAGCCCTTAGAAACATAACCGTCTTACCTTGTAAGACAGGACCTCAGACCTTATGAAGCAGTAGAAAAGGCTTATAAGAAATTGATTTCCTTTCAAGTTAAAAGTTAGTTATTAGTCATAAGTTTGCAAAATAATCTGCATACATTAACCCTTTCCTGTTCATATTTCACATATAGTCTTTAAAACAAACTGACTCGCCATGAAAATGAGTAGGTAGATTCAAGTAGAATGCATTTGGCTAAAGCAAGTTGTTGTTATTGTTGTTTTACTGGAAATGTTGCAATAAATTGTGAAGACCAAGAAATTAACTTTGTTGGTGTAATGAGTTGCATATTTTTCAATGCCTAAAGAGTGCAAGTCTATCGATTTGTGCTGCGATAACATTGTTGTTGTTTTTTTCAGTAATGAAATTTTGTTTGAGTTTTACAGTATAACTTTTATGTTTGTTTGTGTTTAATGATGCTTTAATTAGTTAGTGCTGTTTTATACATTTGATTATGTAGATGCAAAGTGATTTTATTCTCACCCTCATACTGCTCATGTTTTAAAAGCACAAAGGGAAGAGCATGAAAACACACAAATATCACCCAAGATTTCTTTACTCTTTTATTTCTTCATGGCTTACTGAGTAAGAAATACATAGAGTTATATGTATGTGCTGAGTTGTCAGTTCATATAAGAGATTGCATACCAACCTTTGATGATCTGTGGCTCCTGTTGAGATATTAAAGTTGTTGGTTATTTTTGCAATCTTCCTTTGATGTGTTGCCAGGTCTTGCTTAATGACAAGAGGCTCTCCTCATCTTCATCCTCTTTCTCCACTTCTTCCTCCTCCTCCTCCTCCTCTTTTTACCCCTCATCTTTCTCCTCCTCCTCCTCCTCTTCTTCTTTCTCTTCTGCTTCTTCCTCCTCTTCCTTTTCTTTCTTCTCCTCATCTTCTTTCTTGTCCTATTCCTCTCTCTTCCTTCTCTTTTTCCACTGCTTTCTTCTCTCCCTCCTCTTCCTTGGCCTCTTCCTTCTCCTCTCCTCTCCATTTATTTTTTTATGCTCCGTGTTAATTTTAATATTTACCTTTAATACTACCTTTGCCATTTCCTTCTTATCTTCCTTCTTATCCTCCTCCTCCCCCTCCTCCTCATTTTTCCCTTCTGCTTCTTCCTACTCTTCCTTTTCTTTCTTCTCATCTTCTTTCTTGTTCTATTCCTCTTGCTTCTCCTCTTTCTTTTCTTCCTCTTCCCCTTTTTCCTCTGCTTTCTTCTCCTCCTTCTTCTCTCCTCAGCATTTATTTCTATATGCTCCATCTTTTATTTTTTTAATATTTACCTTTGACATTTTGCTCTCTTTTCTTCAGATCTTTGTAGGTAATAGAAAATCATAAATATTGTCCTGAAATATCCCTCTTCTTTCTCAAGTATGAAAACATAAATATAAAAAATTGGCAGGAATCCAGAGTGGTGAATCTGGTGTTCAAAACCCCCGTTGGCCTGGCAGCAGGATTCGACAAGCATGGAGAGGCCGTGGAAGGATTGTTCCGCATGGGATTCAGCTTCGTAGAGGTGGGCTCTGTAACCCCCTTGCCCCAGCCAGGCAACCCAAAACCTCGAGTGTTTCGACTCAAGGATGATAAGGCAGTCATAAACAGGTAGGGCTTTCATCTTCCCTACTTGGGTCTTGTTTTGATCTTGTTGATAGATTTGATTATTTCTTTCTTGTTTCTGTATACATGTTGAGGGGATGTAGGAATACATGAGGAGGTACAGCAGAATGTTAGGTAGTTATAATTGCATAACAGTAAAATCTGAGTGTGCTAAGTCACGTGTATTTATACTTTTGGTGGTTGATCTCAATTTAATTTATTGAGCATATCATCAGGGAAACTGGCTGACTTTTTCTTCAAAATTTCTATAGCTGGGAGGTAGGTACTGTTTGGTAAGCATTCTCCCTGCTAAAGCACTCCAAACCTATCTTCATTTCCTCATTCCTCTGTATCCTTTCATCTCCCTGCACCAATCATACAAGCATGAATACCATGAATAAGAATTCCTGTAATGGATGGTGTGTACATCCTCCACAAACATCATCATACTCTTTGGATCCCCTTGTCTACCAGAATCATGAATGTAATTGACCCTGGTAACTAAAAAATAAGAATTTTGTATAATACAGCATTTACAGTCCCCCCCACACACACACAAACAGCCCCATAACACTTGTACCTACTCCAATACCTCTTACAATATTATTCTCATGGTTTACTGTTTTCTCCTTACCATATATACATATGGATACTTTCTCTCTCTCGCTCTCTCACTCTCACTCTCTTTCTCTCTCTCTCTCTCTCTCTCTCTCTCTCTCTCTCTCTCTCTCTCTCTCTCTCTCTCTCTCTCTCTCTCTCTCTCTCTCTCTCTCTCTCTCTCTATTTTCCATAGCAGCAGTACCTTCTTTCATTTTTTATTCTTTATTTCTCAATAACCATGTGACACACCAGCATGAGACGTTCATTTTCTGACAACAAAAAATATGAAATTTGATATTTCTGTGGCTGGGCAGCAAGGCAACACTATAAAATTGCAGTCTGTAGTAGTTAAATCCAAATGTTATTTTCTGCTGACAGATATGGCTTCAACAGTGATGGACATGAAGTTGTACATGCCAGGTTATCACAACTGCAGCCTCCAGGGCAGAGACCAGGAATTCTAGGCATAAATCTGGGGAAGAACAAAACCTCAGAGGATTATGTACAAGATTATACTCAGGGAATTGCAAGTTTTGGCCCCATTGCAGATTATCTTGTTGTTAACATTTCGAGGTAGTGTTAACACATTAGTTGTTTGTATAATATTTTACACTTATCTGTTTATGATTATTTTTCAATCAGTGAGAAGCATAATAGTGAATTTAAACCAATGCTAACGGGCAAGTCGTGTACATGCATGCTATGCTCACTCTGAGTTACTTGCCTGTTTTTACACATAGATGGCTACACTTGTACTAAGTCACCAATGAGCCAATTACGAGTATTGCCTGTCTCGCCCGTTTACCCTTTTCTTTGATTTACGAAAATATTTTATTTTATCTTATTTTGCTGTTACTAATGTTTGTAATAAAAATAACACCATAGATATTCATAGTACTAGTAAAAAATACATTTTCCCCTCCAATTCAAATTAGGTAAGGTCACAAGATCTACTAGTTGACTCCTTTGTAGCTAAGCACTAGCAGAGCCATCTATGTGCAGAGACATTTCACAAAAAATATAGAAAATGAGCAAAGCATTTCCCCCATTTTTTATTCATTTTCCCTGGAGGCATTGGGTTAATAATTGCTTGTCAGATAAAGATATGAAGAGTGAGGAATGTATAGATAGTTATGTGTATAGCTTTTATTGATATTTATGAACATATGAAGACATACAGACAGTCCTCCCAATTTGGTTATTATAAATAATCAAGAGTACTTCTAGCCCAAATACCCCAGGACTTCGAAATCTGCAGCACCGAGGAAAGTTGGAGAAGCTGGTGGATGCAGTGGTTGATGCAAGAGACAAACTTCCTGGCACTCACAAGCCTCCTATTTTCTTAAAAATAGCACCAGATTTGACAGATGAGGACAAACTGGACATTGCAGCAGTGGTGAGAAGGAAGGGGGTATGTATCAGGTAGTGACAGTGTTATTGTCTAAGTTAATCCTTGTTTAACATAGGGATTTCTTTCCCAAAAATGGCATCCCCAAGAAATGAATGCATTATTTCATTTTGGTATTGGTGTATCATTTTTATTGATGATGGTAGGGATGGGCAAAAGAATAAAAGAAATTACAAATGGGATGATACCTTTCCATCTGGAGTGTGTAGCAGTGGAGTGAGAGACGTGTCTATCCTGTGCTGTGTGTGTGATAGAGTTGTGGCAGAGTTTCTTCATGAGAATGCTTGGAAATTCAAAA